GGCTGCCTATGTAATTTTTCTAAACCGGGTTGGTTGGGAAACCCGAGATTTTTTTTTTTTTCGCATTCTCCCGTTCTCTTGCTCCCCCCCCCCCCCCCCCCCCCCAAAAGATCCAATGCAGTCTGACCCAAGATGCTTCGTCCAGAATCGCTACTGACCCTCCTCATCGTCGCCGTTTGCTTGCTATGGAGCACCGCCGAAGCTTCCACCGGCGATCGGCTACCCGAGTTCCGGGAATGCGTCAAGGTTCGTGTGCAATACCTACCCTCCTAAAGTGTCTTATACGTGGGCTACGGCTACGGCTACGGTGTGCCGACTTGGCTGGAGGGCCCGGATCATCGGCACCGTCGATCTATTTAAGAAAAAAAAAATTGAAATTGACTAACACGGACGGTGTCCGTTAAATAAATATATAGGTCTGCGCCCGTGAGAATTGCGATCCGAATAACAACCCTACCCACATCCGTATGTACCTAGCTATACCTCTCACCGCGAGAAGCTCGAATCGCGCCTCCAAACCGTCTAAACCGTCTAAGCTAACGTTAGAGCTTCTCCGCCTCTCGCAGCCCTCCACCTTCGCCTTCTCTTCTGGACCTGCCCGCAGGAATGCGACTACACGTGCCAGCACATCGTGACGCAGCGTCGCGTGGCCGCGGGCAAGCCCGTAACGCAGTTTCATGGGAAATGGCCGTTTGTGCGGTTTCTCGGGATGCAGGAGCCCTTCTCGGTGCTGTTTAGCTTGGGCAACCTGGTAGCGCACTATAATGGGCTGACGAAGATCCGCGGGTCGATCCCGGCGGCGTACCCGCTGCGCCGGTATTACGAGATGTTCGCGTACTTCGGCATTGCGACTTGGATCTTCAGCGCCATCTTCCACACCCGCGACTTCCGCTTCACCGAGCAGCTCGATTATTTCGCTGCTGGCGCTGGCGTCCTCTACGGCATGTACTACACCCCGATCCGCGTCTTCCGCCTCGACCGCCCCACGCCCCGCCGCCGCAGCTTTCTCCGGATTTGGACTGTCACCTGCTGCGCTTTATATGCCGCGCACGTCACATACCTAAAGCTGTGGCGCTGGAACTACACGTATAATATGGCCGCCAACGTAATTGTGGGCTTGATACAAAACAGTCTCTGGAGCTACTTCAGTTTGAAGAGGTGGTCCGCGACCCACCGATCGTGGGCAATCTGGCCTGGTATCGCCGTCGCGTGGATCATGACGGTTATGGGCTTGGAGCTGCTGGACTTCCCACCGTTGTGGGGAGCCTTGGACGCGCACAGTCTATGGCATCTGGGCACCATCGGCCCTACCATACTATGGTACAAGTAAGTTGGCAGCTTTCTACCTCTCCGCGCTTATATCTGGTGTCAAACTTAACCCAGTCTGCAGTTTCATGGTCAAGGATTCTCAGGAGAACATCGCAAACGCGGACTGGATAAAGGACATCAAGGCCTAACAAACAGCACGCCTTTACTGGTTAAGTTGATCGAATGTTTAGAGTCGATCCTTGTATATCCAAGCGTGGTGCGGTCTATGTATGGCGTTCAAGAAATCTCTGGTAATAGGTCTTATCATTTTTCGGCCGGCAAAAAGGGAATAATATCATAGAAGCAGGGAGTTTGAGGTTCGAATCCATGTGAGTATAGACTAGGTTAATACCTATCATTGACTACCTAAAATATCTATATAGAGCTTGATTGAGACTGCGTGACCTAAACCCTTTTCCTACTCCTACGAGGCAACAATAGTCCGACCTAGAATTTCCATCCAATCCGTTCCCATCCACCTGCCTCACTACAAAAAGATACCAATAGTAAAACCCTAGAATCATGAGGTTAGCTCCAAATTCCCAAGAACAAACACTCAAGCAATCCAGAAAATCAAGCACAAAGCCCGCCAAGGCATCAGAAACCAAATAATCTAAGCATAACACATCCCCACCTCGCCGCAGCGCTCCCACGCCCACCCACCGACACCGAGCAAAAAAAAACCGCGGCAGCACGTGTCGATGCACGCGCGGCGCCCATACGGCCGGCAGGTAGAACGCGGGAACACGCACGGTTCAGCCAAGGAGAACAGACGCCAGCCTCCCCCCTCCCCCCTCCCCCCTCCCTTCTAAAGAAGAAAGAAAGGAGAGAAGGGGGAAAAAGAAAAAAAAGTCGCCCGCCCCCGAAGACGGTCTCATACGGCTCTTCCTAATTTGAGAGGTAAGGTTCGACACTTGCGGTGTCGGGGTCATCATAGCAATGGCGGCGGTGTACGTGTACGTGTATGTGTATGTATGTATGTGTAGGTACCTGATGTACGATACGATACGAAGAAAGCAAATAGCAGGTAAAAAAAATAAGATAATAATAAAAAGTAGAAGGCTTACTTTACCTATTGCTGAAATGAGGGATGAGTCTCCTACCTAGATAAAAGTAGGAGACGGTGGAGGATGAAGTTCGGATATGGAGATGGAAGATGTAAAGAGCAGAAGCAAAAGAAGAAAAACCTTTGCAAATAAATTTCGACACGGATGAACTAGTCCAAACTAAAAAGCGGGCCATTTGCCAACCGCCAGACAGACGGCCTGGGTACGACTCCCCACTAGTTCGATTGACATATCAAATTAACCCATCAGGAAGTATTTTCCTATCATAGAATTGGCAATGTTAGAAATAGACCAGTCGCTTTATCTCGAACAAATAAGAGGTATGTAAATGAATTGTTTTTTTTTCATTGGAGATGCCTCTCTGTCTCCGTACTCTGCAACTAAAACTGCAAAATTCCCGAGCTATGTTGTTTCCGAGATCGCTCCTTGCCATATCAAAAACATCCGTAGACATATCAGCAAAGCTAAACTTAATGCAAAATAATATGAATCTGTACACAGGGTGTAACAAGCAGAGCGCTGTCTATCTAACCCTAAATCCTCAGCACATATGCCGTAATCTTCAACCACGAAGGCATTCTGGGATTGACGTTCCCCTAAATTCGCTCCAAAATACGCGACTCGTTATCATCGTAACATCGTCAAGAGTTGGCGTAAAACCAGCTTGATAAAAATGTATGCAAAGCATACACAAGTCACCAAAATTGCTTTTCATCCAACAATCGGCCCAAATACCGCTACTAGTTGAAAACGACTAGCTGGACGGAAAGCCTGGAAAGTCTGATGCTGTCCAATCCATAGATGAATACTCAATGTTAAAATCTTGAGAAGATGGTTGACTATAACCGGCAGCAAGGCTGGGTGGAATAGTTCCAAAAAGAGTAAAATCACTCGACTTATCCATCGTGCTAGGAGGGAACAGGGCGAAGTCCTGGCCAAACTGGTTGTGACAAGGCTGGAAGTCTTCAAAGCCCTCGTCCACCATAGTCGGCGGTGTCAACATGAGTTGATTACCGTGGCCGAGAGTTGAGAGCTGTGGCATGGAAAACTGCTGGCAGGCATTCGCTGTGAAGTTTGCAAAAGCACTAATGTCTTTGTTGTAAACCGAGTGTGTCGGTGTAGGTATTTGTACGTGGGCACCATAGATATCTTCGAATTGGCCAGTAAACTCAGGGCTCAGGTCTTCAAAAGTGTTGAACTGGTCGGAGTCAGCACTAGAAGGCGTGTTATTGTCAACTGGGGAATATTCCAGTTGGATGTCACTGTCAAACGGTTGGTGTTCATATAAGCTAGCATTGAACTCCTGATCTGACGGATAGGTCGGGAACTCATGGTCATTGTTGTAGTGACCATATAGAGGATCTTCAGGTGGTGTCATCACGAGGTCGGTTTGCTCGCTACTCGGGGTGGGCAAGCTCTTAATCAGAGGTGTAGGTTGGGCAGAACTGCTAGCTTTGCTTGATTTCTTCTGACCGTTGGTCTTGGTCCTAACGTATGTCCAGCCGTGCGCTTTCTCCATATGCTGCTTGCAATTGGATTCACGCTTGGACTTATATGGGCATGGCTTGAAATGGCACTCGAACATGGGAGGAGCCGCCGAATGTTTATCGTTAACATGTCGGTCCATCTCCTTCTCAGTAGGCCAACCATAATCGTGGTATTTGCAGGTAGGAATGGGACACTTCCAAGGACGAGAATGCGTCTTTTCATGCTTTGTCAGATCACAGGGTCGCTTGAATTCCTTACTGCAACCCGGGTGGGCACACTTTTTAGGAGCGAGCTCCTCTGGCGAGGCGTTCTTCTTTCGGCGAGCCATGGATCGCATGATTTCTTCTTCGTCCTCGGCCTGCTCGCTCATTGAACGCTTAAATCGGATTGGGCCTTTTACTTCTTCCTCAAGGTCCTCAACAGGCATTCCGGTAGCCATGGAGATAGCTTTGCCATTCTTCTTTACGCGAACTAACTCCGCTGGTCGACCGTTGGTTGTAAGACCACCAACAAGCTTTACCTCGTCAGTTCTGTCCGTTAGGTTAGCATATGTGCAACCACTAGGGTCATGGCGGGCATCATACGGGTCAACGTCCATCTCGTCTAGCTCCTCTCCAGCGTCCTGTCTCTTGCGGGCCTCTTGCATCTGTTGCGCGTGTTGGCGAATTTGTTCCACAAGATCGATAAAGTAGCCGCTGTTGTAAGGTCGATCGTGAGGCCGGGTTTGTTCTCGGTCGCTAAGGTATTCGACGGTAGCTTGGATGCATCGAATCGAAGTGAGGCAGAAGTCGCGATATAGTTCGACAGACTTTGCGGTCTCCTTCAAGCACAGCCAACGATAAGTAACTCCACATATGCTAGGGTCTTTCATTAGTTGACTCACTGGTGCCATAAAGATAAGTGTCTTCTCGAGGTCCCTGAGACAAACGATCTGGTCCTCCTGGATCCTTCTGGGACAGTCAAGGACAATGGGATGAAACTCCTTGAGTGAAGGTTCACCTAATAGCGGTTTCAGGATATGCTCAGATATGCGGTTCCTAGCACGCGAGCTAAGACGTTGAATATTCTGAGACTTAGAGGCCGTGGCCGACCTTGTGATAGCTGAAGCGCCAGTACCAGAAGACTTGGCCTCCTTCCGCTTCTGATTTGTAGACGCAATGGATGTTCCCAACCCACTATCAGACTCGTGGTGGTGAGAAGAGCGACGGCTGCGAGGACGTAACGTCCTTCGCTCCGGCTCGAAAGCAGTCGGTTCCTCGGACATTGTGTCTCCTACTAGGGTGTTGTCCAGGAAACCTCTGGGGATAGGAAGACAGTCGTCCGAGAAGGGGCTTATAGGGGATAACGGCTCGGCCTTGATAGCCGACAGGGTCACCTCGAATTTGCCAATGTTTAAGGCAGCACGACGAACATGAGCATCGACAACATCATCGAGACTGGTCTGAGAGCGTCGAGGTAGCGAGGGTACTCTGAATGAAGCAGCAGTAGGTGGACTAGTCGGAGGAGTGACAGGAGAATGGAAGGTTGCTCCCTTCCGTAGGGTTAAGTTCGTCTTAACGGTTAGACCATTGCCGGGACCTGAGTCCGGGCGAGTCACCGGGGTCCTTCGAGGGTTGGAGAAGGACATGATGACTCGGTATAACGGGTGCGGGGAACAGATTTATGATAGGCGAGAGGCAAGAGGCAAGAGGCGATCGATGATATCGTTGCTCTGAACTCTGTAAAGACAACGGTACCGGTTAGCACAGTTATGCACCATAAGGCTGAGCAGTCATATGAGTCACAAGGGTCCTCCCACACCGAGTCCCAGATGGCCTGAGACATGAAAAAGATATCACAATTGCCAGCTTGACATTGGTCAATCGATGGGTCTCGGACGAGACGGGAAAGTGAAATATATATATGTGAATATATATATGTGGTAGGGCTAGAAGAACACCCCGGGGATAGGATAGGACATTTCTTACACGAGTAGCAGGTTCACGGAACGGATGAGCTCATGCGTAGAAAGATAGAAGGACTATATGTGCTGATGCGCGTTTCGCGGAAAATAAGACAAAATTGAGTCGAGGAATAGACAAGATATTGCCAACTTGAGCAGAGAAGATGGCTCGTTCTTCGCAAGCTAACCTACGTAGCCTGTGTAACAGATAGGACAAGATAAAAGAGGACACAATAGGACAAAATAATATGGCAGCCTTAGAGAGATACAACAGATGAACTGTTAATAAGCCGGCTGCGCAAGAACACTTTGGTCGCTTGGTCGAGGAAAAGAGGCGCCGGACGAAGACGAAGAGTCGAAGAAGGGTAAGGGCTCTTGGGGGTTTGAGATAATGGGAAGTCGTTATGAAAAGGATGGAGATATTTAGGCAGCAGCCGTCTTCTATGGGGACTGTCAAGGACCACCCATGTCAAGTTACTGGATCAAGTCTAAAAGTCGAGTTTGATGGTTCTAAAAGTAGTGGCTAGGTAGTACCCACTAAGATTCGCTCCAACGCTAATGGTTCACTAACATTTCCGTCACTTCCGCACTAACATGAAATACTCGCTAAAAGTCCTAGAGTACTTTTAGGGCAGATGTAACTCAGCTACGCCTCGCGCTAAACCGGATATGCGGACGCGACCCCGTTTCTCAATCCATAGTTAATTCATAGTTCGCTTACAGTGTACACTACCTACATGGTCCATACATATTCTAACGTTCAATGTTCCTGGCCAAAGATCCAGAATGTCTCTCACATAAATCATGCCACTTGCCAAATCTAACATCCTACCCACGTTTCGACTATTACTATGAACTACATACATGTGTAAATACTACAATAGAAGGACACGTATAGGAAATCACCTCTTACGGTTCATACCAAACAGATATCAATCTACCATATTCATTCGTGTCTGTGAAGTTGTGGAACACGCCGACAAGTAAGAATAGAGATCGGAAGAAGAGAGGTCGAAGATAGGTTGGTATATATCATGCATAATGATTAGCAACGCTGGCCCTGCAGGATCTACAAGCTGTGTTGGACTCGCGCTAAGCCTTGGAATACTTTATTATTAATACCTGATGCGCATAGTAATACTTTGTACATAACGTACATAAGAACCGAGTGGTTCCACGCTCTTCTGTGGCCACCATTCCTTCCAGACGGAGGAGGATTCCCACGTCGTATGACGATTCACAATAAAGCAAGAAATGTCGATAAACTCGGATTGAGCATGTGTTCATGTCGATTTATTGTGAAAAGAACTAGACCCTTAATCAATTACAGTATTAGTTGCGTTGCTAATTGTCCGAGGACCCCTTTTCTTATGTATTATTTAAACAACACCTTCGGTACCGGCCTAAAAGTATCCAGTCTATCCGGCTCGGTCATGTTTCGTTTAATTGCCCCGACCGGCTACTTTATTCCTACCTTGTGACGTCAATTTATAGCACTATTGTAGAGAGTTTCACCGATAATTAAGTCAGTTGTAAAATCCCCGTCCGCGTCTCTTTCGGATCTTCTCGTAGTAGGGGTGTTTTGCGCAGATGCGAAATTTGAGACTCGCGCATTATACATTAAGTGTTATCTCCTAAATCGCATCTGCGAGATTGGTCATTCCCGTCTTTAGAATTCCCGTCTTTAGAAAGGTGCGGATTGATAATTGATTTGATCTTCTTATCGATTCAGCGGAGCACATGAACAATGACAGCACCGCCTGCATCTTTTCTTTCCATCGTTCTTCCAATCAGGAATCTCCACAATTAAGGCTAGCATACTGCTCTGTGCTGCAAGAAGCACTGGAGCAGAAGTTGCAGAACTGAACCTTAAGCAAACAAGGTTCATAAGTGCTTACATACATATATGCAGTGGTCGAATTGCCGATTGCGAAAACCCCCTGAATGGAGGAATCGCATCATCAAAATTAGCGGGATCGAATAGAGTGTTGACACCGCAGCATTCTCCGTTGACTCATCCATCTCGGGAGCTTACGGGCATTGGTTTTTGTCTCATGCAGCAAATCCCCAACAGCAGCTCATCAGTCTGCACTGCTGCAGATTCACCAGTCCTAGAGTTCCTGCAAATGTGATAGATTTAAAGGGTCCCAATATGACTCTCCCAATATTAGATCTGCCCTCTTCACCCCCTCCTCCCCTCCCCTCCCCTTGGCGACGATTGGTTGACACGTACCACGTCGCATCCTCCAAGTCGTCTATCTGTGGTCGTCAGCCCTATCAATTGATCAATATTGACGACCCATAACGACGACACCTCTGACCAATAGAATCATCCGGAATTTAGATGCCTTTTCACCACACCTGCGCGTCAAATGTAGAATATCGGTGCCTGACCTGGGTCTATTATCTCGATTCAGATCTCTCGTCATGGAATACGTAACTTAAACGCGCAAATCTACTATGTATGTAGTATCAGGCAGATGTTTTACAGATCGCTACCGAACAAAACTTACGAATTCAAGATCAAATTAACAGGTAACCATGTCAAATGGATACTACGATATGTACCTAGCTCTAAACCCTGGATTCCTCCTCACTATTGCTCACCTGTATATTATCATCGTCGTCAGTGAGCAAAGCCAAGCGACATGCCTCTAGTCTAATTAAGCGTGGGAAAAACAAACCATCGTATCCATTGTCTACCTATGCTCGCTAAAACAGGCATTTCTTATTTCGGTACTCGTGTCTGGGTATAGTGATAGTGATATCTTCTCTACGTAGCCGGGAGCTGTTTGTATTATTGGGAAGACTCACAATACTTAAGCGCGCGGCATTATCTTAGATTCTAGAACGCGCCCTTGCGTCCATAGCCATGTCCCGTGCGGGAGTAGAGATCATTACCTCTCTGAGCTAACGGCGAGGGAGTATAGGCAAGTCTTCTCCTGTCATTGTCGTCGTCGTTGTCGTCTTCGCTAGAAATATCGCTAACCCCGTTACTATCTACAGAACCCCGACGTATACCCCGGGATGTCTGTTGGTACCGGCGGGGGTTCATGTTCATGGTCTCGGACATCCTAGGTTGTTCACGGACTACTCCATGAACGCTCCCATGCATACTTCCGTACCGGTGCAGGTTGTCCCGATGGACTTCTACTCTCCCGCCCGGAACGTTCTTCAACCGGGAGTGTTCCGATATAGCGGCGCGGCTAGGCTGGTTGGGGTACTGGTATTGGTATTGGTACTGGTACTGGGAAGGCTGGCTATAGTACTGGTCCCGGGTAGATTGTCGAGAGCGCTCCGGGTCGTACACGCGACGGAGGTCGCTACCCGGGAGACCAACGAAAGCTTCCATAAGTTCGGGCTCGACGTGTGAGTCCCTATTCCCAGGTTGCCCATAATTATAGGAGTTACTCATATTATGGTTGCGCGGCCACCCGTAGTTCTGAGCTGCACGAGTGGCTTCCCGACGTGGAGAACGTTCATAACGTGGTAGATGAGCACGCCTATCCCGTCGCTGTCGCTGGGGCCTATGGTCATCATAGTCGTCGGGACACATACCTAAACACATCGTGAAGTTTCTACTAGTTAGACTTGGCGATAGTTCGGTGTTTCTAGAGCGTTCTTGTCTGAACGGAGAAATAAGGGGGGTAAGAATCGAAATGCTATACCAGATAGCTTGAAAAAGTGATACTGTTTTTCTACCAATAAACAATGCTAGACACTGCTTTGGTAGTTCCAGTAGAGTAGAAATTAAATAGAATGGGAAGGTACAACCGGGCAAGATATTTCTCACGGTGTGAATGTGCTTGTGATGTGTTTATATGAGTCAATAGGGGTGACCTCTTACTCTATTGAGCGGGTATTCTTTGTCCTCTCTATTGTTGTGTCTTTGTGACTTTAGGAGAATCACCGTGACACTAAGACAAGTAGACTGATATTTTCGTAAAAGCACTCTTTATTGAATCATCTGCTCAGAAGTAATTAACAATAACATTAACAATAACATTAACCAAAACACATAATTATATACTACGAACGAACAACCAGCTCATATGTGAACAATGTCAAATCTCCATTCTAGTTTATATACAGCGAATATGTTGCCGATTTGCCCCCGGACACTATCGGTTTATATTTATCGTGCTAATACATAGTTTAACCAGTCACTATATCTCGAGACAGCGTCAATTCAGATATTGCGATACTTAGCCTTTCCCCCAGTCAAGCACACCATTACCCATAGTACCTACGGGTAAGTTTCTTGTTAAGAGTTGGGTTGGTGTTGACTTAGTAGTAGAAACCTGTGCTGGTTCATAATCAGAACACTTATTTATCGCATGTCTTCGATGCATAAATATATCGATATTAGAGGTCCTTAAAATACCCATATAGAGAGGAGTGAATTGAGTAGGTAGATTTACCTTCCCCCCTGTCTTACCACAATGCAATGATCCTCGAGCAAGATAATAACTTATATAGGAAGTATAATAGAACAACGGTAGATGTTTGGCCGTCAGAAGAGTAGCAAACCTTTCTTGCCTTAATCATCATTTCCGAACAGTCAGAAGCAAGCGTTCTGTTTGGTAATGAAGTTGCCACCACTGAATGAATTAAAGCTGTCATCTACACCACTAATTACGGAAGTTTAAACATCACATAAAGCGGAAAGGAGACAAGCATCGAAATGAAGACTATAAAAAAGCTACTAGACCGAAAGGGGTGCAAGGAGAAAAGCCGAGATAATGCAAAGAACGGGAAACATGAGGATGCCTCGTCGTTCGAGGAAGAGAATAGCGCACATGGCGCCCATACCATAACAATGGACTACACACCCCAGAGTTACGGCATGGTAGAAACGCCTACCTATCTTCATTTCGGCTCACCATACGACCTAGCGAGACTATTCGACGAGCGTGACCGCGTAGAGAACCAAATACGTCGACGTGCCAAGACGAAAGGCACAAAGGAAGCCGAGCTCGTACTCCGCGAACCAACTATCCGCTCGGTCAAGCAACTTTATCAGATCTGCAAGCAAGCCGAAGTCGTTGCCAAATATGGTCTCGCAGGCAGAATCGCGTACAATTTTAGTAAGTCCACCGGTTGGAATAGACTTAACATTTCAAGATTACCTTCGCTGCAGCTCAGAAAGCCGAGGGAGAAGGTGAGAAAGCCTAGTGGCCTCCTCGGCACCTCCGTTGTCGAGCCTGATTTCGACATGTCAACGTTTTCGTTTAGTATCGATCGGCCGTCGTCGCCTGTCAGTGAAGCTGGGGGCTGGAGAGACTTGCCGTACACGTATGGGGACTTGGAGATGGGCCCCCCTAATCCCCCGGTGACGCTAGATCTCTACACGATTGAGGAGGAAGAATGGGAAGTGAGCCGGGCAACATCCCTTACGATGACGAAGATACCTATATGGCAGGTACGTATGGTACATGTACCTCCTCGAATTAACCTTCACATTACCAACAAGTAGGGTGAATGAATATACTAGGAAAGTCGCTAACGAAGAGCGTTAGGTCCCGACTTGATTGAAGTGCCTCTGATTTTATTTCTTTTTTATTTCTTAGTGACATGATTCTGTCTGGATAGCTAGTATGACTCATACCCCTTGAGATCACGGCAGCTCCTAGTTTGATTTTAGGTGAATGCAACCAATGTATTTAGATCAAGCTTTCGATTGCCCCTGGGAATTTCTACGGGAGAGCAATGCACTCAATCTCAACGTCGACAGCCTTGGGCAGCTGCTTGACGGCCACGCAACTGCGGGCGGGCTTGTGGGTAAACCACTTCTCGTACTCCTTGTTCATGTCGGCGAACAGCGACATGTCGGCCAAGAAGATGTTAACCTTGACGACCCTCTCGATGGAGGAACCGGCGGCTGTGAGGACAGCCTTCAGGTTGGAAATGCAGACTGCTGTCTTCTCGCCAATGGTACCTTCCACAAGATTGCCATTGGCGTCACAGGGAATCTGGCCAGAGCAGTAAATGGCGGTTGGCGTCTTGATGGCGTGGGACTATGATAGCTACCTGTTAGCTCTCTGAGTGAATTAAATGTTGGGACTCATCTTGTTCATACGTAAGGTCCAGCAGCTATATATATATAAGTTAGTTATTATTCATATTGTTCTTTAATATTATATTGTTTTCACTTACGCGGAGCTGCGTCCTTGGAGAAGACGGGTGTGATGTCAGACATAGTGCGGATAGGGGTTGAAGCTCGGAAGACGAAAGACGTTCGCGAAGCTGGAATTAAGCTGCGACGGACTGTAGATGAGAGAAGTGCTCGAATTGGAGATGCTCGAAGAACTACGGGCATAGCTAGACTAGAGTATAGACTAGAGTATAGACTAGAATATATAATAATAACCCGATTGATGTCTTTGTAATTGTTCTTAATGAGTGGAGATTTGTAAGCTATAGTTGTTTTAGGGTTCGCAGTCCTCTCCGTACTTCGGCGTCCCGGCTCTTGATGGGGGGGAAGTTGCCAAGCTCCGTACTACGTGAGCACGTTTCTAAGTGGGAAGAGAGTAGCGCTAGTTAGCCCTAGTTACTTAAACTTGTTTAGGTATTGTACACAAGCTTATTTATGTAGATGAGATCGGTGATCGGTTATCGATAAGATATCCGTAAGAGATCGGTTTCGGCACAAGCTCTATTTCTTCACTACATGGTACCTACGACTCAGCCCACCGTAAGAAAAAAGGGGGCGTGAGGCTAAGGTGTTGCCAAGTGGCCAAAATTAACTTGATAACCCCTATCCGCCCAGCTAGGCAAGGTACAATACCACTGTACCCGTCATATTAGGTACCGACATGGTATGTACCTAGGTAGGTAGGTAGTATAGAGTGGAACACACGCACGCTTGCGCGACTGAAGCTTCCCCTGCGTTAACTAAGATTTTAACGAGGGCCGACTTTTTGAACACTTCTTCTTGATCACCATCTTCTATCCTTCTCGACGACTTTGGCGTCAACAATCGCAGCTTTCGGCCTACGAATTGGCCGTGCCGTTGGTAATTATTTATCTTACCCTTTTCTTTGTTTCTGTAAGTACATCTACATCTAACTACATCTAACTATAGTTACTACATCTACTACAATCTACAATCCTTGTAATGTGGCGGTAACACGTCAACTGCGACGTGTTCACCCACATCGAAATATCCTACTTACCTACCTAGGTTACTAACAATCGGGTCCGAATAGTTTCTAAACATCAATTTCTTCTAAACTGCGTTCCTTTATACCATGTCGACACCCCCTCAGGGCACTCCGCAGGGCACTCTGCGCCAGCGGAATGTCCCCGGTTCTTCTAAAAAGAAGAATGGCAGTTCTGATGATGTGGATTCGGAGCTCGACAACCTCGTCAAGGCAAACAAGAAGGTTACCAAGAAGCACTCAGAATGGGACTACAAGGTCGCTCTGACCGTGATCACGATCCTTGCCTTCATTTCGAGATTTTGGGGTATTAGCCACCCGAACGAGGTCGTCTTCGATGAGGTTCACTTCGGTAAAGTAAGTAGAGACCGTTTGCAAATATAATCACTAGGCTTCACGTAGAAAGCATATAGAAGACACTAGCTTATTCCTGCTTTCCCAATTAGTTCGCTTCGTTTTACCTCGAGAGAACTTATTTCTTCGATGTCCACCCCCCGTTCGGAAAGCTTCTCTTCGCCCTTATGGGATGGCTTGTGGGATACGACGGGCACTTTCACTTCGAGAACATCGGTGATTCGTACATTGCGAACAAGGTCCCTTACGTGGCTTTTCGCTCTATGCCCGCACTCCTCGGCTCGTTGACCGTCTCGGTGACTTACCTTATCATGTGGGAGTCAGGATATAGTCTTCCGGCATGTATCGTCGCTGCTGGTCTCGTACTTCTGGATAACGCCCACATCGGTCAGACTAGGTTGATTCTACTTGATGCTACCCTTGTATTGGCCATGGCATGCAGTCTGTTATGCTACATCAAGTTCTACAAGCTGAGACACGAGTCTTTCAGTCGTAAATGGTGGAAGTGGCTCATTTTGACCGGCTTCGCGCTCTCTTGCGATATCTCTACTAAGTATGTCGGACTCTTTGCCTTTGTCACTATTGGCTCTGCTGTCGTCATCGACTTATGGGATTTACTCGACATTAGACGACCAGGCGGCGCGTTAGACCTTCGAGAATTCGCTTACCACTTCGGTGCTCGTGCTGTCGGGTTGATTATTATTCCTTTCCTATTTTACCTATTCTGGTTCCAGGTTCATTTTGCTATCTTGACGCGATCTGGTCCTGGCGATGATTTCATGACCCCCGAGTTTCAGGAGACGTTGTCTGATAATGTCATGCTAGCCAATTCTATCGGCATTGACTACTACGACACCATTACTATACGCCACAAGGAAACCAAAGCTTATCTTCATAGCCACGACGCGAAATACCCTCTCCGCTACGATGATGGCCGAGTTTCCAGCCAAGGCCAACAGGTGACGGGATATCCGTACAATGATACCAACAACTATTGGCAAATTCTCCCTGCCACCGACGATCATGAGATGGGCCGCCACGTCAAGAACCACGAGCTCGTCAGACTACGACACTTGGTGACGGATACAGTTCTATTATCCCATGACGTTGCCTCTCCTTACTTCCCTACTAATCAGGAATTCACTACTGTACCTCTAGCCGACGCGTATGGAAGTCGTTCAGCGGAAACTCTTTTTGAGGTCAGAATCGAACACGGCAAACCCAACCAAGAGTTTAAGAGTGTTTCCAGCCATTTCAAGTTGATCCATAATCCCAGCAAAGTCGCAATGTGGACTCACACGAAACCCCTTCCAGAGTGGGGACACAAGCAACAGGAGATCAACGGAAACAAGCAGATTGCGCCTAGTTCGAATGTTTGGATCGTGGAGGATGTTCCGTCTGTCCCGGCTGATTCCCCCCGCCGACAGAAGCAAGAGCGCCAGGTTAAAACTCTGCCATTCCTTAGGAAGTGGTTCGAGTTGCAGCGTTCAATGTTCTGGCACAACAGCCAGTTGACTAGCAGCCACCCGTATGCTAGCCAGCCGTACCAGTGGCCATTCCTACTGAGGGGAGTTAGCTTCTGGACACAGAACGAGACCCGCCAGCAAATTTACTTCCTGGGTAACCCTATCGGTTGGTGGATTGCCAGCAGTTTGATTGCCGTTTATGCTGGTATCATTGGTGCTGATCAGGTGTCTCTACGCCGCGGTATCGACGCCCTAGACCATCGTGAGTTAAAATTCTATTATCCCACCCTTATTCAGCAGCTAACTTAGTTCAAAGGTACCCGTTCTCGTCTTTATAACTCTACTGGATTCTTTTTCCTAGCATGGGCCACACATTATTTCCCATTCTTCACTATGGGACGTCAGCTTTTCTTGCATCACTACCTCCCTGCTCATCTCGCATCATGCCTTATCGTCGGTTCCCTACTTGAATTTGTATTCAACGCCGAACCGTCTGCGGAGGAGCCGTCCTACCAGGATGTTAAGTCGGGTAAGAAGCCTGCTCCGGGCCCTCGGCGACACATCACCGCCCGAGAGAGATTCGCCGGCCAGAGTATGGTCCCGGCATGGATCGCATGCCTTGTCATTCTATCTTTAGTCTTTGCCAGCTGGTACTTCTTCCTGCCGCTGACCTACGGCTACCCCGGCCTTAGCGTGGACCAAGTCCTCCGACGGAAGTGGCTCGGATACGATCTCCACTTTGCTAAATAAAGTGGTGAAATTTTGGTGAGATGAAATGAGGACTAGGTAATCTTGGTATGTAAACCATAATCTTAGGAGACGACGTAGACACAGGTGTACGATTGAGCGCAGCATCTAAGGGGCGAAAATGGATAGGTTGGGCAGGCTTTGCGTTGATCCAAAGGCAATGGCAATGGGGAGAAAAAGTCCGTTTTTTGCGATGATGAAAAAAGCATCATCTGGTTTTTTTTGGACCCCGTCACCTGTGTACTCAGGACTTCTGTAATCTATAGAGGCGATACGGGAATCAATCTCATTTCTCATTTCATAAAACATACATACTTTGTGGTGATTAATGGCTACGTGGTTCATGGTTAATTATCTAGCATTTGGATGCTTGGAACATCATCAACTCCTATCCCTCACCTATCTCTTGCTTATCTCTTCAAATCGTTCATAAGTTGTTCCGCAACTATTTTCCCAGCTAGACAACTCGTATCTACTGTGCTCGCGATCGTGTGGATGGCCGACGTCCACCATAGGCCTTTGTCGGATAGCTTAAATGGCGGGAATCGGCTAGATGGGTACATATAGGGGTAGGCTTTTTCAAGCTAGGTAGTAAATGCGTTAGTATCAATTCTGTCGGACCGGGATAGTCTAGTCTGATAAGGCTTACCTTCTCCTGATACAACCAAGTGATCCTCGGGTTCAGTTGTTCTAGCTGCTCTACGGCATCGCTGTCCGCCAGAGCACGGTACAAGTATTCAACGGTGCTACTGCCGTCATCTTCAACTCGGACGACGTCTCTCACGAACGCTAGTTCCCTGATACCTCCAAGGGCGTTCTCGAGGAATAGGACTTGGTTCACATCGCCGTAGGCACCGATTCGTCTCGGCACCGTGAAGAATGCAACATACGCAGTGCGATATGCCAGGATCGAAGCGGCCTCGACGTCTTCTGCGGAAGCAGCGCGGTATAAGTCGAACTTTGGGGCGGCAATGATGACTTTGTCGAATGCTTCGGCTTGCAGACGGCCTGACGGGGTAGTATACTGCACAAGCCAAGCAGATTCGTCCTCGCTGATCTGTGCGTACTTGACGCCGTGGACTTCCGTCGACTCTCGGACGTTCGCACCGATCGCACTGACGATCATATCTAGCCTATCGAGGAGTTCGCCGCCCACATATGCGTTCGCGGTATCTTCTATGCCCGCAGCGAGCATCAGTGCTAGAGCACTGATATCTCCCACGTTCTGCGAGTACATGCGGCCGACTTCCGGCGCTAGGACTTCGGGTACGTAGCCGCCCCCGATGCCGCGGTCGTTGAGTTCGTTTCCCGTAGACTTCTTCACGTAGTCGTATATGCCTAGGGAAATCAAGAGCTGCGCGAGGTCTGGTACTAGGGGTACGTCTACGAGGCGGTCTTCTAGTTCGGCGCCTTGCTTTGCCATGGCGCCGGCGGACCAGACGGAGCTTCCGTATTGGAATATCAACCCCATCCAGTCGAAGAAGGGTGTTTTGGTGTAGGGACGGGTGGTCTGCGCGATGACGCGGTCACCGTTGAAGCTGGGGGTGGTTAGCACCGATATGATCAGCTTTTATGTAGCTTTAAAGGACTTACTAGCTGACCCGTTGACTACCAGCTTCAGAGGTCTGAACCTCGTCTCCAAGCGTCTTCTCCGATGTTCTCGAAAACAGCGGGTTACCCCACAATAAGCCGGTTCCGGCGATGTCTTCGGCGATGATAGGGTCCTGCGTGGGATCATCGTAAGGAAAGACCTGACCGCCGGTGGAACTGTTCAGAGCTAACTGTCCTCCGATTAAGGGGCGGGACTCGAATATAGTGATATTGACGTGGATGCCCCGGGCATTGGC